CAGTTTTTGACAACAGTTGTGTTACTCTCCCAAATCAAGATTCCAAGACCGCCTTAGGGTTGTTGGTATTACCTTGCCGCCTGCAGAATTTACTCGCGCAACCTTTCTGTCATCAAACCTCCTGTAATGCCGCTATCACACATAGTGCTCTTCTTCTCCATAATGAATCTTTTTCCAGAAATTCCTAAACCAAATTCGTACTTCACTTGGACTTCCACAGGGTTTTGAATTCTTAAATATTACTAAAAACTGCTTCCAGTAGGACTTGAACCAAAGACCTTGGCTGTGGAGGGTAGGCGCTTAGACCACTAAGCTATAGGACCCTACCCTTAGATAGTTTTATAAACTTTGGTTCAGACAGTTTTATGAACTTTGGTTCAGATAGTTTTATGAACTTTGGTGTAATGCTATAAATATTAATGCAGATGCTTCTTTGGATGTTGTTGTGAACTCTTGTATGAATGCTAGTATAAATGTTGGTATAAATGTTGATATGATTTCTGATATAAATATTGGTGTGGTTGCTAATATAAATATTGGTGTAGAAAATGAAGTCTTGTATAAAGGCAAAATATTACATAAAAATGGCAAGTTATTACATTAAAAAGAGGATTAGGGTTAGGGTAGTTAGATTTTAGGATTAGATTTTGATTTTTTTTTTTAGTTTTTTTTTTTTTTTTTATTAGACTTTGAATTATAATACTAAATGTTTATTTGTTTTTTTTTTTTTTTATAAAATATGCTCCCGAAAATGATATTGTAGAATTAGCTTCGGAATCTACCACCACCAATGCTACCACCACTGAAACCACTACTACTGATGCTATTATCGAGACTACCATCACTGATGCTACTACTGATGCCACCACTATCATTCAAGCTGTTGTTCCCGAAGCTGCTACCGCCCAAATTGCTGAGTCCAAAGCTGTAAAAAAAAAAAAAAAAAATATATATATATATATAAAACTATCTAAACTTAAGTTCATAGCAGCTTCCTCATCAAAGTTCATAAAAGCATCTGCACCAAAGTTCATAACAGCTTTCTCATCAAAGTTCATAACAGCATCTACACTAAAGTTCATAGTAGCATCTATACCAAAGTTTTTAGCAGTATTTATACCCAAGTTTATAGCAGTGTCTCATCAAAGTTCATAGTAGCGTTTACACTAAAGTTTATATCAGCATTCATACCAAAGTTCATATCAGCATCTATACTAGAGTTTATATCGATGTTTACATCACTACTTATAATTGTGCCAGAATTTATACCAATATTCACATTAGCATTTATATTACTTTAGCAAACTTTATGCAAATAGCATTGAGTATTACTATTACTGTTTCTAAGCATGATTTTATCAGGTATGTTTATTAGTTTTTTATTATTTGTATTTTTTATGTTTAGATATGAGTATATATTAGCAAACAAAGAAAAAAAGAACTAAAAAAAAGCTAAATGACTTGTGCTATTTATGAGAATAGATCAATAATATAAACAATCAGCTGAGTTTTAATTTGAAACCTGGTGGATCATTAGTTTGAATTTTGAAATCTGAATACAAGAATGGGTTGTCATTGTTATTGATAATATAAATTAACTGCTAAGCCTGAATTCAAAATCTTGTATCATATAATTGGGATGCAATATATTGCCTAGTGCAATAAATTAAAAATTCTTAATAATAATAATTATAATTATAATTATAATAATAACCTATTAAACACGGCTAACGAAAACAGAAACTTGTTGGAGAAAAGTAGAAGAGACAACTACAAATAACAGTTTTTACAGAGGTCAAG